AAACTCAAACTGTTACAGTAAAAAATCTAAACGCACTCGCTGCACAGCAAGATGAATTATAGTATATAAAAATAAACATATACAGGAAAATGCATACATATATACAGTACGATTTAGTTGCAAATATCAGAAAATACCACAGAGCTTACAGCCCCTCGATTATGAATGTGTGACTACTTAAATAGTTTATGATATTTTTGTGTACTGCCTGTACGGGCTTCTACTTAAGGCCGTATCTACAGCTAGTCAAGTTTCTTAAATGTCACATTTAGATAAATGGCCATTTCAGCATATAATCAGGCACAGTTTTTACTGAAATGTCTTATTAAGATTTCCCAGAATACCTCAGAATTTAAACCTTTGTCTATGCTAAGACTATATATATATGTCTATAAAATGTATAAATAGAAATAAACGGGAAAATGATGCAATTAGCTATAAACAATGAAGTTAATGAAATGTGTACATTCTTTTGAAATAAATGGAAAATGTGAGGAAATGTATTTGGAGCTTATAAATTGATACAAATTATTTATTTGATAAAAGTTCTTCACTCTTTTAAAATCCATATGGATTCTACAATAAATCAGGACACATGTTTTGCCTCTATTCAATACCTTGATTTTAGTGTGTACCATTGGCTTTGACTGCAATATATTATTTGAAACATCATGAGAATTCATTTTATTGATTGAATTTTTATGAACCCAAAGTGCAGTCGATTGTCTAATGTTAAAAATGCACATGTACCTGTTTAACGCACTTTGGGGTCAAAATTGGACGCCAAAGTGAGTAACGCACTCTGGAGTCGGACCCCAAAGTACGTAACGCACTTTGGGGTCGTACCCCAAAGTGCGTTTGACCCCAAAGTGCGGTGTAACAGTGCCCTTAGATTTTTTAATTTTGTGATCATATATGTGTTCCGAGCAATAACTTTAGAAAATCGTTACCAATTTAAATCGTATTTGTTTTTGAACTTGCTTACTTATTCTTGTTATATTTTTAAATACTGTTGAACTTAATATCCATTTACATATGAACTTAAAAGTACATCTTGTGTTTGATTTTTGAAGCACAGAAGCAATACACTTGTTAAAACTTTGCTTCAGGCGTATTTTGCCACGCCTCAGTGGTGCTCTTGTTTATCCCTTTCCCTCATGAGCATATTGTGAAAAATGGCCGTTTTCACTGAAAAGCCTCCTGTTACAAGTTCAAACTGCTATGAAACTATGAAAAATGCTTCAATACTATTCAAACTTGGCGCAAATGTTGACTGGACCATTGCCTTTGTAACGACATGATCAGTCTTAAATTTTCTGTTACCATGGCAACGAGGGGACATCTCAAAATTGCCAAAAATCACTATTTGGCCTCGATTTTTTCTATCAAAATTTATTTCAAAGTGCTGCAACTTCTCTAAGGATTGAGACAGGATCAAAATCTTTTCAGCGTTGGTTACACGGTACCTTATGATTGACCTGGGGTCATTTTTAGCCTCTCACAAGTCCAAAATTTTCTTGGCGACGTTTCTAAAACGAAACCATGTGTTTGGGGTTCAAATAGGATATTTTTTCACTATTTCAGGCCTAAAAAGAGGGGAGGTCGAAACTGCGTTTTTTCGCGTATATATGAGGTAAAGGGTTATACAACGTTTTCTTAAACACTTACCTAAACTATTGCATATTTCAGTTTGATGACCATTTACCGGATACCGGAGACTTACTACGTCATTGTATTATTGAGCTAAAAGCTTGGGAAACATTTGACTTATGTAGTTTCAAGGTAAGAATCCGATGTAAACATAAGTTACATGCATGAAGTTAAGTTTTAGTTCACCTGAGTACGAAGTGCTCATGGTGTCTTTTCGGATCACTATACGTCCTGAGAGAGAGACTTATTAGCTTGCGTCCGGTGGGGGCATACATGTTTCACAAACTTTTCTTGTTCAGATAGTACCGATGGGTACAACCAATTGAGTTGAAAGTTGTTTACTAGGTTTGCTTCAGAATGCTATCAGTCGTAAAATATTAGTGAAACACACAGTTTCTTTGTTACAGTTGATTCTCAGCCCTGAATTTAATATACTCAACAATTACTATTATATACATTGTATATAATTCGATTCCTCTTGATAAATTCACTTCAAACATTTCCTGAACTTATAACGTTACTGAGTGTCAGTTTAACCAGGATAAGCATTTGTTCCATAAAATACTAGTATTAAATCTTTTCATAGACTACGGTAATTGTACAATAGATATATGGAAGTAAACAAATTAAAATTTCCTGTGGTACACAGACATATTTTGTTTACATCAATATATTTTGTATATTCCAGCCGCAAAGATGTATCCTAAGCAAAAACGCAATAAATTGAATGAGGTCCACGAGATGGTCCAGTATGTCAGGAAGAGAAACCTTGAAAAAAGGAAGCGAGGCGCCATGGCCAGTATACATGTCGGTGAATACAAATCAAACACTTGCTTTTTGTCTGAAAGCCTTGATTCTAACAAAGAAGATGCACCAAGCATAAATAATAACCAGAACCAAGGAAGGAAGCAAAGTTGCAATGACATGTATTTGGAAAGCAACCCTAAAAGAGTTTACAAACCTCATCTTCACGATGAAAACCCGATAAGAGATCATAGTGTTTCAAAAACGCAACCAAAACAAACAGACACGAAAAATAGAGATAATGAAGAAAATATGAATTATATAGACTTAAGTGTTGAACAACATCCTGACAAAGAAAAGCCGCCAGAATACAGTAAGACAAAAACAATAAAGCAACAAAATGTAATTATAAGTCAAAGTAATGGAAAAAGTGTGACAAATGTAGGCATTGGTGTTGAACCACATGCTGACAAAGAAAACCCGACAAGAGAACACAGTAAATCTGAAATGACAAAAAAGCAGACAAACAAGATTGGTCACGATAATGAAAAAAGTGTGAATTATATAGACAGCAGTGTTCAACTACATCCTGATGAGAAAGAACCAACAGGAGAACATAACAAGAAAAAAAACAAGAAGAAACAAAGAGAAAAGATAAGTGGAGATAGTGAAGAAAGTGTGAATCATGATGACAAAAGTGTTGAACTACATCCTGACAAAGAAAACCCGACAAAAAAACATAAGAATAAAAAAATGAAGAAGAAACAAAGAGACAATATAAGTCCAGATAATGAAGAAAGTGTGAATTATGTAGACAACATTGTTGAACTACATCCTGACAAAGAAACCGTGACAAGAGAACATAACAAGACAAAAACGAAGAAGAAAAAACAAAGATACAAGATAAGTCAAGATAATGAAGAACGTGTGAATCATGAAGACAACAGTGTTGAACTTCATCCTGACAAAGAAAACCCGACAAAAAAACATAAGAATACAAAAATGAAGAAGAAGCAAAGAGACAATATAAGTCAAGATAATGAAGAAAGTGTGAATTATGTAGACAACAGTGTTGAACTACATCCTGACAAAGAAACCGTGACAAGAGAACATAACAAGAAAAAAACGAAGAAGAAAAAACAAAGATACAAGATAAGTCAAGATAATGAAGAAAGTGTGAATTATGTAGACAACAGTGTTGAACCACAAAACCCGACAAGAGAACATAACAAGATAAAAACGGCAAAGAAACAAAGAAACAAGATAAGTGGAGATAATAAAGAAAGTTTAAATTATACAGACAATAGTGTTGCACCACATCCTGCTGGAAATCGTGACTTTACATTTCATATACCCAGCCATGAATGGGAAATCATCAAGCCACAAGTAAAGTTAATTGGCAGAAGACAGTTACCACGTAGACGACTGGAGAAGAAATGGACTGATATATTTTCAAAACATTTAAGCATTTTCCACCCAGGGTGCGTTTTAGCTTTCACGGCACACTGGGTTAAGTCAAGTAAAAGCAGGAAGTCGTCGGCTCCATTTATTGGCTCTAGTGCTAAATGCAAGGGGGAAAACTGCAGTGGTCGATTCCAAATGAACATACCAAACGAGGATAAAGAGATATATGTACATTGTAGGGTGAAGGGAAATATTCAGCATGATGTATTTGAAGTAAATAGAAGAAACATTACTGGTCAAGACAGGTTTAAAATGGCAAAACAAATACAGCAGACCACCCCAGCTGTAGTCTTCAACGAAAATCTTTCATGTGCTTGCCCTGAGGAAATGGAACTAGGCAACTTTAGCAGTGTCCCAAACCAAGGTGTCCTACGAAAGATGGTTTCAGAATTGCTAAAAAAGGAGGACATGCATTCTAACATGATAACTGAATTGCAAATTTTAAAGGAGAATGATGAATTAATGGGACAACCCTACATACGTGAAATAGGTCTTGATCCTCTAGTAGTATTAATGTTTTCGGACGAACAACTGAAAATTATCCAACATTTGTCATCGGCCAAAACATTGGACTTGTACTTTGATGCCACCGGTAGTGTAATAAGGAAAGTCTTTGGACAGAAGAGGCCACTACTCTATTCACTTGTGGCAGAGTTACAAAACACTGCGGTCTCTTTGGCTGACATGCTTACGACCCAACATACAATTCCAAGAATCAGTCACTTTTTGGGTACTGTGAAAAGACATCTGAGCCTTAAAGGGCACACTGTAAACGTCAGAAAAATAGAAACTGATTACAGTTTTGCTATTATTCAGGCTAGCACTCAAGTATTCAATAGCGTAGATTTGAAACATTACATTCAAAGGTGTTTCGATATAGTACAGGCATCGAAGGCTAACGGCTCGACAATTATACACCTGTGTTCTAGTCATATGTTGCAAGACTTCAGTCGAATGTTGAAAAAGAAGCTGCCAAGCTTAAACAAGCATGCACGACGCTTTGTGATGCAGTGTTTCGCTACACTAATGCAACGACATTGCAATCGGGGCTCGATATATTTTGAAAGTTATGCAAGGTTTGTCTTTCTAAACAAGACAATGACGATGTAGCCGCTCAGAAACAGAGTATCTTGAAACAAAATATGGGCTGTGAAGCAGACTCTGATGATGAGCTAAATGATGACAAAAGCCAGGAAGAACTATTATCTGATCCCTCTGCCGATTTATCCAAACAGACGATTAGGGAGAGCTCCCCGTTTACGCCATTGTTTGAATCAATAAGATCCAAGACGCTAGAGGACACAAATCAAGAATGTGAAGTTGTTGATAATGACATGTACTTGCCAAGTGTCGTTGATCTCATTGTATCTTCATATGCTCCAATTTTCCCACTCTGGTCGGGAATCATGTTAGAGAAACCACAGACAAGAGACACAAACTCCTCAGTCGAGTCATGGTTCAAGTATGTCAAATCTGACATTATGTCTGGAGAAAGGGACAAGCGCCCAGCAAGGTTTGTGATGAAAAACAAGTCGGCTATACATGCCCGTATAATCTTAGAGACCTTTCCTGGAGCAAAACATGGTAAAACACGAGGGAAAAAGAGAAAAAATGACACTGCAAGTAGAATAGACACTCAAGAGGAAAGCTGGAATAAGAAGAAACAGAAGAAGACTCGAAATCTGTACCACAAAACCCCGAGTCATAAACATATGACCTCTAAAAAGACAAAAATGACAAATCTACCAGTTGTGATGGCTTGGGGTGGTAAAGTGGGACCTACGGTTTTGGACAACACTTGTACCATTGACAACGGACTTACCGTCGTTCATTTATTTCATCAGAGAAAAGAAGAATTTAGAAACTTTCTGGCGTTGTACGAGGAATGTGAACCATTCACAACACTAAAGACAGTCTTATCTTTGATGGATGAAAAGAACTTCAACCAGGCAAAACTTGTTTGGGCACGATTAAGTACAAACAGCCACACCAACCTCTTTGGCGAAGAAACTGAATTCATGATGTCCCACTTCGACCGACAGTGGAAAAGTAGAACAGTGTCAAAGTGTAGTTTCGATGAGTGCAGTGAACCAATGAGAGAGAGCAAGACAAAGACTGGAATAAGTCTCAAGTAAGAATAAAAAATTAATTACAAAATGCAAAAAGCTAAGAAAGGCATATGCGTTAAGTAAAATCATCAAAAAGCAAAAGCAATCAGACCACACAGATAACATCAGTCTAAACTCATACTTTTACAAATTACCGTCAAGATCAGTCCAAAGATATTAAATTGTTGCCATTTGGGTTTTCAAATACATTTAAGTGCTTCTTTTTGACGTCAATTTACGTCACATAATTTAAGCTCGATTATTCGAAGATTAAGAGAGCTATCCTCGTCAATTAGGCGTCGGTGTCGGCGTCACGCTTCAGATTAAGTTTTTGGTAAATTTTGTCTGAATTATAGCACTATTCCTAAACCATTTGAGATGGCATTGAAACTTGAAACACTTATTAACTATGATGACCCCCATCTTTGGACAGAGGGGATTACTCTATCAAAGATTTTGGCCGAATTATTGCCCATTTTCAACTTACACTCCAGGTTAAGTTTTATGTACAACCGCACTTTATTCCTTATCCATTTGAGATATTGCTTTGAAACTTTAAAGCTCCACTTTCACAGTCCTTTTGAAAACTTTTTAATTTTTGTCTTCCATGTAGTATTCCAAAATAAAACATCGCTGACTTAAGAGTAGATCTCATCTTTTTCTAAATGTCGAAAAGTTCGATTTTCCTTAAAGCGTTACTAACGCTTTTAGCAATAAAACTTGAATTTACGAAAAATATAGAAACGTTGGGTTTTCAACTTTTGCCAGCAATCTTATTTCGATGATCTAAAGACATTCACACAAAAATCGCTCCATTCCATGACACAAAATTAAAAAGTTGCTTAACAGGTAGTCTTTGAGAGTGCAGTTTAAATACTTCTTTAATTGCATGACCCCAATTTTTGGAAAAGGGGAGATTACTCTACCAAGGAGTTTCACAGGATGGCGATCCCTTTTCAATTTAAGCTCCAGATTAAATTTTTGGTACCACCTCACTTTATTCATAGACCATTTGAGATATGGCTTTGAAACTTAAAGCATTTCTTATTTATCATAACCCACATCTTTGGACAAGAGGGGTTACTCTATCAAGTATTTGGATAAAATTATGGCCCCTTTTCAAATAGGCTCGAGTTTGTTTTTAGCACCACCTCACTTTATTCATGTACCATATGAGATATTGCTTTGAACTTGAAAGACTTTTTCATTATCATGACTCCCATCTTTGGACAAGAGGGGGTTACTCTATCAAAGATTTTGATAGAACTATGGCCACTTTTCAAATAGGCTCGGTCTTTTTTAATGTTTTTACATCACCTCATTTCATTCATAGACTATAGCGATATTGCTTTGAAACTTGAGACACTTTTTCATTATCATAACTCCCATCTTTGGACAAAAGGGAGTTACTTTATCAAGTATTTTGATAAAGTTATGGGCCCTTTTCAATAGGTTCGAGTTTATGTTTCCGCACCACATCATTTCATTCATAGACCATTTAACATATTGCTTTGAAACTTAAAACACTTCTTCATTATGATGACGCCAATCTTTTGACTAGATGGGAATATTCTATCAAGGATTTTGAGAGAATTATGGCCCCTTCTCAATTTAGGCTTCTGGTTAAAAATTTGTACCGCCTCACTTTATTCATGAACAATTAAAGATATTGGTTTTGAAACTTAAAATACCTGTAACTACCATGACCCTCATCTTAGGTTACTTTTTGTCTGAATCATAGCCCTATTTTTTCAATTAGGACTCCGGGTTACATTTTCCGTACCACCGTACTATTTCCCAAACCAAATGAGATGTTGATGTGGAACTTGAAATAATTCTTCACTAGGATGACTCCCTTTTATTTATAACACAAGTTTACTCTAACAAAGCTTCTGACAGAATTATAGCCCTTTTACAACTTTGAATCCAAGTTAAGTTTTTCATACCAAATAACTTAATTCTTAAACCATTCGAGATATTGGTTTAAAATCTGAAATACTTGTTCACTATCATGACAATCATGTCAATGATTCTGTTCAAATAAAAACTCTCTTGATAATTGCTTATTCTGTCAAATGTCATATTATTCTTCGAAATGTCGAGCGCGCTGTCCATCGATAGCTGTTGTTATTTGCGTCGTACCAAGACATTTTAGTCAACAATTATAGTGGTATAGTGGCATTCATTTCTTTCATTTTATGAGACTAATGAATTTAATTAAAACGTCTTCATCGTTTTGATGCCATTTATATGACGCCATTGGTTTACGGAAACTTGTCGATGTGGATATTTATCTCGTTCAATGGTAGCACTTAGTTTTTTTAGTCTTCATGTTTGTTTACAGCTTGGACGAAACCATTGAAAACATGCAAGAGGTTGTAAATAGATGGCTCAGATGTGAGACGCCCTGCACTGCTAGAGGAGACTTGGGCGAACCGGGGTAAGCAAACACTCTAAATAAAAGTAGCTATCATTTTTCTGATTCTGATTACTATATGTCTGCAGGATGTGCTAAACCCTTGTATCTTTTAGCTCACTTCGTGCTTAGATTGAGCTATCATGGCGTCGTCCGAAATGCGTCCTCCATTCTCATCATTTGGTGTTTACACACTAGAGGACACAGTTGTACTTCAATGTTAATGAAACCTAAGATAATATTTATATTGACAATATATATGCCAAATTTTAATCTTTGAATATGAATGATGTCTGGTAAAAACTATATCAAAATGTCGAATGTCAAAAATACCTTATTTTCACTCTGTCTTGCGTCCACGTTTTTGAGGTAATCTGAATGAATTTATGTCCGAATATTTATCATGACATATCAACTTGGAATCTGGGTAAAATCTAGACAACCAGTTATAACTGTATAATACAAACATGTTTATACACTGGATGCAACATTTATGTATCATTTTCCAACGGAACTTTGTTAGAATGTTTTCTTTACAATAAAAATCTACTGCGTGTTCAAATCAGGGCCTTGTAAGGCACAACAGATCGACTCTTGACTTGTTTACACCATGTAAATATTCATGATACTTTGTAAGAATGTTTATGGGAACAGTTGCCGACGCGACGATTGAATCTGGCTCATGGATTCATTGTTCTGTACATATTTTACGTACATTGCGGAGAAACGGATACTATTGTCTACGCACCTATTTCACAGTTTAACAAATAAGCATAATGTTTGTTATCTGCAATTATTTCATCAAAAAACTCCGTGCATTCCCCTTGTCTGCTGCCACTGTGTATACACCACTATTGATTAACCAGAAACCTGTAAAAAGCGCTTTAAGAAAACACTCTTCAATATGTATGTTGAATAAATTTTGTCCGGTTAACATCCATGTTGGCAACAACAAAGAAAGAAAAACAAAAGAGCACCGAATCAATTTTTTTCGGTACGATGTTTGGTATATAACATGTCTGCAATTTGTTGTAACACTTCGTGTCTTAAATGGGGAAATATTTATCAAAATGTGATATGTAAAGCCATTAAATGTCCTATAACACATAACCTAAAACCGATTTAACAATTATTTTGAATAAAGAATAACGATTTATTCGATAGATAGTGGTCACGTTAAAAATGAACACACAATTTCCTGTTATTCCTATTTCAAATAAAATGTAATGCATTCAACAGGATATGCTTAATCTTTCATTTTGACTACTATGGTTAAGCCAGGTTTGCGGGAAATGTTCGTACAAAACGTTAAGGACTTGGTTTGTAATAACTTCTTTTCATTTGCAGTGACGATACCGCATGTGAAGGTGTTCGACAAACTAGAAGAATGATTAAACAAGCAGGTCCTGTAGCTGCCTTGCGCGTTTATGAGTTATGCATGGCCGACCAAATTTCATTCCACAATCTGATGTCTTCGAAAGAAATAAACATCGATGACCGTGTATTCGAATTGGCCGGTGTCACGATGTACAAGGAAGGCCACTTTTGTGCCATCGTCTTCCTTGATGAAGAGAAATACTGGTACGATGCGCTGAATGCTTGTTTGACCCAATTCCCAAAAGATATGTTGACGCGCTACTTTCCAAGTCATGCGCTCTACTGCCAGATTGCTTGAAATTATGCAACACAAAAACCCGGAAACACTTAGGGCAGTTCAAAACATTACATCGCTTATAAAACATAACAAAACTAAATTTGAAATTTAGGTTCTGGATCCTGGGTCCCGACGGTCTGCAGATATAATCGCGAACATTTTGGCGCATGTGCAGTAAACTATAATTGTAAGACTGGTTTGTAAATATTTCTCTGAAAAAAAAAGATTATTACATGTTCTTAAAAAAGCTAACCAGTCTATTTCCCAACAGCATTTAAACACAATACCGCGTAGTCGTCTGATGACATCTCCAATATTTCGAGAAGACACAATTTGTAGGGAATGTAACATTAATGCGGTTGATAATCACTTTTTGATATGTTCTTAATATAGAGATTAACGTACTCAATATATTCCTAGATACTATGATAATTGGCCCAAATTGACAACATTCAATTTTCAGATGGCTTGTAATAAAAGTAAATTTTGTGTGATATGGCTATGACTTTTATCGTTAACTGAGGTTAGACGAAGCTAGTCGCATAATTATATTTACTTATTTACATGTATATGTATTATTTTCAATAGTCGTTTTTTATACTTTTCTGCATATGCTTTTGATTATGTTCACTTGCATGCCATGTCAATATGTTCAAATAAGTATTTTGAGTAAAGTTATGTTCTGTAATAACATGATATGAAAATAAAAACTTTTGTCTTGGCTTAAATAACATTCGAACATTCGAACTAGCTAGTAATTCAAATAATAATTATGTATGCTGGCGTATTTGTTCCGAACTACAAGCTGAATACCAAACTACTAGCTAGTAATTCAAATATTATGAATGTAAGTGTGTTTGTTCCGAACAACACGCTGAATACCGATCTACTGGCTAGTAATTCAAATATTATGAATGTAAGTGTGTTTGTTCCGAACTACACGCTGAATACCGATCTACTAGCTAGTAATTCAAATATTATGTATGCCGGTGTATTTGGTCCGAACTACACGCTGAATACCCATCTACTAGCTAGTAATTCAAATATTATGTATGTTAGTGTGTTTGTTCCTAACTACACGCTGAATACCCAACTACTAGCTAGTAATTGAAATATTATGTATGTAAGTGAACTTGTTCCGAACTACACGCTGAATACCCAATTACAAGCTAGTAATTCAAATATTATGTATGTTAGTGTGTTTGTTCCGAACTACACGCTGAATACCGATCTACTAGCTAGTAATTCAAATATTATGTATGTTATAGGGTCTGGTCCGAACTACACGCTGAATACCGATCTACTAGCTAGTAATTCAAATGTTGGCGAATTACTAGCTGAACTACGATGTACGATGTACAAGCCAACTTCACATACCTATTAAAGACAATATTCATAGACGTATTATTGTTATCATATCTACCATACAGATAATAAAAATGATAATAGCAATATACAACAAATAAAAGAAAATAAAAAAATATATTGTTTCCTTTGCTGTTCTCTAGATTTTTATAGAAATGTTTCAAGCAATATAACCATATTGTCGGCCTTCATGGTGAATGACATTTCCTTATAATAACACACTTTTTACCAATAAACGCATCTAGCCGAAACCAATTATTGTTATTCCTGGTGGAATTGGTTAAACAATTTGTAGTTTATGTGTCATAGTTTTGAGGGGAAAAAAAAACATTCGGTCACTTTTGTAAAGCTTTTCGTTTCCATGCTTATCCTTGCTACAAATTATGGTACATGTATATCAATTTTAATGCTTATTTTCATAATATCAACCATACAAATCTTTGCCATGCATGTAACTCTTCATATCAATTTGCCAGCATAAACATTTTTATGTCCCATGCTTTATAAACTCGCCAGGAACTTTATTAGATTTTTTTTATATTTCATTTGCAATTCCAGAGGATCTTGATGTTTTATGGGATTTCTGTATTCATCTACAGGACAAAATGGATTATAAAGGGCATTATTTCAGTTTGACCGAGTAGAGCTTATAAGGTCAACATTACCAATACATTTTCATTAGATAAATCTACGTTAATCTGCAGCTAAGGTCGTGACTTTTGTTATAGTAACTGTTGTTTTCATTGTTTCTATCTTTTTTCCTTCATTGCTGTTTAGAATGTAAAATACGGGATGGTGTCATATTTAATAGTCTCGATTGTTTGGTACAAACAATGAGCTTGATTAAAAGCGCGTCATATCTATATTCAGTGTCAAGTTAGATGCATTATATAATTTAGGGTAAAGTGCTTGCCTGTGAATGTTTGTTTGTGTACGTGTTCTTTCTTGCTGCCATAAACTAGCTAAAAAATGAATATTTTCCAAACAATTTAAACTAAAACCAAACCAAATCTATCCGTATACTTGTTCTTAATCTATTTTCATTTTGTACTGGGCTTAAGTGTTTATAAAAGTAACCAATGATGTTTAAGATTGCATTTGTTAAATTAAGTATAACCTTATTTGATAAAGGTTTTAATATAGTTTTAAAGGTGATGCAGATGTCACACGTTCGTTGCACTCATGTTATCTTTTAAATGCTTCATACAAAAATAATTACAAAAAATTTAATAATTCTTTTGTAGACAGAGCTAATTATAGTTTCCATAGTTTATATTCAAATGTTGTAAATGTTTTGTACTAGTATAAAAATATACTTGTACAGTTTTTATTAAATTCATCATTAGCATGTCAAAAGTAAATCTTCTGATTGAGAAAGCATTGATTAGGAGTATTTTTGATAAGATATCTAGATATGAAATTAACCAGAACAAGTTCATGTTCCATATCAGTGTCTCTTTGAAGGATTAATATTTCTAAGTAGTTCTACAGAATGTTACACCAATGGAATAGAACCCCTGCATCTGTAGAGAGTTAAACGTTTTTGCAGACTTACTTTGCTAAGAAGATTAACATACAGGTAACTGTAAGGTAACTAGAAGATTGTAGAATCATTTGACAGGTGATGTTTTTGTTGTAAGTTGATGAACCGTCTCTAATAAATCACTCAATATTTCCTGTTGTTCTTCATTTTTGTTTTTGCTCTTCTTTTCTTTGCTGGGATATCTTAAACAATAAGAATTCGGTGAAAATATGTGTACGGTTGAAAACTGTATGACAATTAACGATTAACTTTAATAATAAAATAATAATTGAATACATATGAACTTTTCGCAGTTTTAGAATTTTAAAGTGAGCATAAACTTTCGAAAAGAAATTATAATTTTATTTACGTGTTGAATTAAAGTTGACAGCAAAAGTTTAAATTTCATTTAAGCAAATAAACATACTTTTGCGATTAAAAGACATACATACTATATACAAATATACATTTTTAACAAATGCTTTAATTGAAAACAATAGGAATTTGATTTAAAGTTCAAAATATTGGTATGTCTATAACAGTTACATTTTTCTCATAATGTGTTTTTCAATGTATGTTACCAAAACATATAACAACATAAAAGTGACAAAAATGTGTATCTCCTTTTAAATTTTATCTGAAATTTATTACCTAATCTATTATTGGTTCATGCAAAGAAAAGGGAATGTAAACATTTTAATACTGCGGGCAGGACTTCTTAACTTCCATCTTTCTTCCCATAAGTAAAGAAATAGAAATAAATGGTATGCCAAATTGTTTACCGCTTCCTTCACTGACTATTTTTTATTTGTTATATCCCCTTACATTAGCAAACTTAAGACAAATCGAAACTCAAAAACATTATAAAGGGTGAAACATATTATAAAGCAAGACGTAGAAGCTCTTATTTTTGTTAACTGAATAATGTCTCATTTATTCCAAGTTCTTTTTTCTTTTCCTTTTAAACTGTTTCACAACTGTATGATTCTTACTCTGACCTGTTATTTGAATAACGATAATTGGCATATCTTCTTTTGTAAACAAATATGTTGTAGTAAAATTTGTATGTATCCACTAATCTGATCATTCGAATTCGACAGATAAAAACTATATAGGGATCTATAAAATGTAATTTGAAAAAGCGGGTTTGAAACAAATATGCATCAATTAATTGTTTACAAATTGAAATATTTTCTTCCTGAGCTGAGTTTTTCTCTGTAAGATGCAAATACATTTTTATGGAAATTGTTATTTCTGGCATATTTGGTGAGGGTTATTCTTAGTCAAAAAGAGAACGATTTCCCGCACGATAACTAAGTATTTTACAAACTATGTAGAAATTTCAAATCCACATATGTTAAGATATGATCTCTATGTTTTAATTTAAAGCATAATTATATGTTCATATCTAAGACCTTGTTAAATGTGGAGGTTATAGAAACCACTTATTTGATTATGAGCTAATGCTAGGCAGGTGACCGACTGTACACTATATTTTGTTTATAAAGACCATGGAACCGAAGCTACAAGTGCGACTTTTGTTGCGTTGCCACTATTCCTCATTTATATTTCGTGTTCAGAACTACAAGTGACTTTTACTCTTTTCATTTTACGTTAATGAGCACTTTGTGAAGCAAAACTGAAAATCGTCCACGCACAGTGCTCTTAGAGAATTATCGTAAATGCTCAATTATTTTTGTCTTTTATATTTTTTTCCTTTTCATCTGATTAAGGGGAAATTTATTGTTCATGATGGCGTAGATTTTTTTTTATGACGGTTTTGGTTATGCTCTGTTTTAGTATTAAATTATTTGAGAATTATCCTAGAATAATCTTTTGATATTGCAATGGCAAACATCTTTCAATAGTTTTCTTATAAGATAATCTATGTATACTCATAATATCTCTTTAAAATGTATAAAACAATTAACAGTGCTAATGAAATATAACATCTCCATCACACTGCCAATAGTTTATGATTTGCCGAAGGTAAAATGTAAGTAAGAGGTTACAAAATTCAAAATTCGTAAGCATATATTACTCGATTTTTTGCCATTTTATTGTGTAAAATGACTTCTTCTGCACTACTGTATCTGTTACTTACAAATGTTCTTAACGCTTACTACTACTGCAGTTTCTTTCCTTTGTACATTTTAAATTTGAAAATGTAAACAAACTTTTGTATTGATTTTGAAAATTAAAAAAGTCAATATAAAAATATATTCAAACAAAGCAGACAATTACAGATTATTAAGATGATTTCTGACAAGATTGTACCTAACAAATAAAATTTATTTTACCTATGTCCTTCTTTTTTAATTGACATTTTCCTTATATCTAAACATCTCCTGGATTGAAGCAAACCAGATACTACTGAAAGTAACTTTATTTATATTCCAATTAAAACAAATAGTTTCAGTGACATTCGATGAATTTTAACGAATGATTCAGATATTGATTTAATATTCTTAATCTAAAGATATCATTATTTCAACTTTCAGTTTGAGGAAAACGGAATTTCATTTCTCATTATAACCAGTAATTGATTTATCAGAACTTAACATTGAATAAAACTGTTGCTTTTATTAGATTTTCATAGTTAAAGTCCTTGTTTATAAAAGATTTCCAGAAAAAGTGCGCATTAATTTGTGCAATTTGTAGACTTTTTATTTGTATTGTGTGTACTTAATGAATAACGCAATTTAAAATGCGATAAAGACATCGTTGCATTTCAAATTAGTGTTTCGAAGATGTTCATGATTTTAAATGTTAAAACTTACATATAAAAACATATAATCATTATAATTCTAAAATGAAAATATTAAAATAAAAGTTTGCTTTCATATCGTGATGA